TTGATTTAACATGTATTATTAATATTTAATTAATAATATGTATTATTAATATTTAATTAATTAATAATAATATAAAACATGTTAAAAAAGTAAAAGGTTAAAAGTTAAAATATAAAAAGGTTAAAAATGAAAATATGAAGTTTTGTCTTTTAGGTGTTTTTTTTTTGTTTTTTAGTATAGGAGGGGGTGTATAAAATTGTAGGAGGGGGTGGGGTTAGAAAACCCCTATGGGAGTTATATAATTTTTTTTACCTAAATACCCTTTTCAACTTTGTTCAATTATCTTTATAAAATTTTAAATTTAAAAAAATAAGTTTTTATCATGATTAATCACAACCGTTTATTGAAAGATTGAATGGCCAAGATCGGTTAACAAAGTTAACACAATAATCTTGGTTAATATTTGAATCAGCCCCTATATATATATATATATATATTAAAGGAAATCCCAAGAGGTATTGAGGTGACATCATGAGAATTGAGTATTGAGATGCTAGTGAATTGTGGTTGAGTTTGAGATATCCTACATTGGTGAGAAATTGAAAGATTGGGATACAGATGTGTGTATAAGAAAGAAGAAGAGATTCATTGTGTCAACTCAAGGGGCTTGACTTATAAGGTCATCTTATTTGGATGACCCTATTTTTGCAAAACAAATCTTATTATATAAAAATAAAAATGAATTGTGTTTATAATCACATAAACACACACACACACACACACACACACATATATATATATATATATATATATAAAAAAGAAGTACCAAGAGGTATTGAGGTGATAACATGGGAATAGAGTATTTAGATGTTGGTGAAATGGTAAAAGATTAGAATAAGGAGGTGCATATAAGAAAGAAGAATGAGATTCATTGTTTCAACTCATGAGGCTTGACTTATCAATTATCAATATATGTATGTGTATATATATATAGATAGATAGATAGAGAGAGAGAAAGATTGGTTCAAATGTTAACCCAAACTATTGTGTTAACTTTGTTAACCATTTTCAACCAATCATAATCTATCTTAGTATTAGGTTCCTATCCATCTTAGAATTTAATAACAAGGGCACATATGTAATTTTTTTTATGTAACTCCTATATCATTAATTGGGAGTTACAAAATCATAAAATTCCATGATTTGTGTTAACTTATTATTAATCTTGTTATTTTTTTAATACTGATTTTCTATCTCTAATGTTTATGAATTTGTGATTGGTGGAGGAGACCCAGTAGTAAAGTTTTCGGTATCGTTCAAATTGACATATACGAAAGATAATGAACATGTGTGATCACATGAATACAAATTCACATATGAGAACATTCATACAACCATATAAACTCAACTGGACATATATGAACCATTATGTCAATTACGAACACAAATTGACATAAATAAACATTTGTGTCAATTACAAAAACATATTGACCTATATGTACAGTTGGTATAAATATGAACACATATTGACCCAAATGAACATATGAAAGATAATGAACATGTGTGACCATATGAATACAAATTCACATACATGAACATTCGTACAACCATATGAACACAACTCAACATATATGAACCCTTGTGTTAGTTATGAACACAGATTGACATATATGAACCATTGTGTCAATTACGAACACAGGTTGACATATATGTACAGTTAGTATAAATATGAACACATATTGACACAAATGAACATACGAAAGATGATGTACATGTGTGACCAGCCATATGAACACAAATTCACATATATGAACATTCGTACAACCATATGAACACAACTCGACATATATGAACTCTTGTGTCAATTACGAACAAAAATTGGCATATATGAACCCTTGTGTCAATTACGAACACAGGTTGACTAACCAAATAGTAAAATTATAGTGCAAAACATTCAATTAAACATCATGCAAAACACAAGTTGAAAACAAATTATTCATTTCACAAAAATATCAATCATCTTGAAATAAGATTGAGTTCATCATCCCACATTGATGGAAAGATGATAATCTGAAAGCAGATGAATGATATACAAAGAAGTGATGGATGCTTTGAAATCTATAACCATAGGTGGAATCATAACCAACCAAATGGTAAAATTATAGTGCGAAACACAGTTAAAATATCATGCAAAACACAAATTTAAAAATAAATTAAAGTATAAAAGTAAACAAACACAAGATCAATGTTGCACCCAAATAGTTGAGTAATCTTCGTTTCTTGAATTGTGGTTGAGTTTTTTTATCTCATATTGATGGAGATAGGAAACATTAATAATGAATAGTATGTATATCAAAAGTGGTTGAGATGCCTTTATGGCAACTAATGGGGTTGGCTCCCTTAACCGATCATCTAAACTCATGTTGTTGGCTCATTTTGACTGGCCCTTCAAACTAATGGAGTTCGTTCAATTTTGCCAACCCTCTTAAAATGTTAATTTATATAAAAATTAAATAAACATATATACAATTAATAAATCAATATATCTCAATGTCAAGTATCATCAAAGTAATAGAAGAAGAACTAAGGGTGATTATATGGTACTGTGATATTTGAGTATTTATAATTATTCTATTTATATTGAATTTGGTAATCCACATTGATGAGAATACGATAAAGCGAAATGACGTGAGTATATGAGTTCTGTTTTTTTAGCTCACACTCTAAACGAAATACATTTGCATTTTATTATAAGTAAATCAACGAATCATTTTCATCTTAATTTTGTTATATATTTTAAAATAAACCAAATTCGTCACCGTGCAACACACGGTGGGAAAGACTAGTTAACATTAAAAAATGTATATAGTAAAGATATACCCTTATGATCCGACTTTGCCTATTCCAATTTTGATCAACAAAGTAAGCAGTGACCGCCATAAATCCCTTTTTTTGATTGTTAATTGTACACATATCAGTTGTAATTGCTATCCTATTGGTGTTCTTCTCTAACAACTTCAATGTCCTTTGTCTTTCAAAATCATAAATCTTTAGTATGTCGCTTTTAATGGTGTTTCGAGAGGAAACCTTAAACGTTGAAAACCTCCCACAAATTTTCTAAACCCATGATGTTCTACAATTAAAAGTGGATACTCATGTATGATTATCATCTCCGCGAGATTTGTTCTTGATTTATCCGCATTAAAGGTATAATTAGAAACATATGATGAAGTATCATCAACCTTCTTTTGCTCCCCTACTAAGATATGTTGGCGTATATCTCGAACAGGTCGCCTTGCATAAATGATCATGTACATGCCTTGTACCATTTTTTGAATTCCCTCCCAATTTGTTTTTGCAATAGTTACACTCTGCTTTATCATTACCATCTACTTTTATCTTCTTAAAGTGGTTTCATACTATTGATTGTGTTTTCCTCTTTCTACCCCGACTCAACTTCATCATTATCAGAGACATCATTAGTTTGGGTTTCATTTTGAGTCACTGAATTAATCGCAGGTGATGATCCAATTGGCTTACTTTGTGAAATGGACTCTTTCATTATTGGATGACTATCAGTAGAAGTGATTGTATTGGAATCATTACATTGTCTTTCCATATCACCTATGTAAAGACAAACAAATTAAATATTTGGTGTCAATTAGTGCAAAAAAAAGGACATCAAGTGAATATACATTACATTAATAAAGTCACCAACAAAAAGAGTAAAAGACACCTCAATAAATATTATACTTTTCTAAGTGGGTGAATTACCAAATATCAAGTTCATACTTCATACATGATGCATCTAAGTTCTAAATATTTTAGAGCAACAATAAGAATAATACCAAGTTACTAAACTTACTCCATGAATCAACAAATAGATTATGAACAAAATCAAGTTACCAAGTTCTAATATTTACTTAGGGTTAGGAAATAGTGAAACAAATCAACATATTAGAAGCAAGTCAACAAATAAATTAGAAACAAGTCAAGTAATCGACAAACCGAGAGGAGAGATTTGTTTGATTGTTTGATAGACAACAAGCCCGCAGTGACAATGAGGACAGCAGCGAGCCGCGATGAGTGAGGATAGGCTGACAGTAGGTCAGCAGCGAGCCAACAAGCGAGAGCCGAGAGGCAACGAGTGAGAGGAGAGGGCAAGATCCGAGAGGCAGTCGGCAGCGACATAGAGGACTGAGGAGTGGATTTGTCGTGTATTGTTATCGGTGTGGAGCTAGGTCTAGGTGTCTGTTGTCGTGAAGTCTTCAACAGTTAGGTCTCAGTCGGGCTTTATAAATCTTTGGGGTTTAAGCCCTAAAGCAGCATTGGGCTTTATAAATGTTTTTAGCCTTTATAAAATTGTAAATATATATATATATATATATATATATCATATCGGGTCGGCCGGGTCGGTGAGTATCGTCCCCGTCCCCGATATAATCTCCGAAAATCCCCCAATCCCCGCGTCGTCCCCGTTAAGAGGTCCCCGAAACCGACCCAAATTGTTCGGTTTTCACAATTGGTTTCGGGTTTTTTTTCCATCCCTAGCCCAACCCATCCCTAAGTAACCCAATTAAACTAACCGGTTGAACCATCAAACCATTAAACCGTTAATTAAAATGGATTCGCCTAGCCCTACCTATCCCAATTTGTCGTTAATATATATAACTTCAATAAAAATTTAATATATTAGTCTATTATATTATATATATTAATAGTGTTTTTTATATTTT